CTAATTGCACAATTAACTAAGATAATTGTTTCATAGAACGGGTGTTGTGGAGTGCGTAAAACCTTCCACACTTACAATCAACTCCCGAACCTATATCTCATTATGAAGATTATCTTTATCACTTTTAGTTAGTTTCTTAAGATTTTTTCCTTAAAATCTTGGTGTGACTCCTTCTTTTGAGGCCGGCTTTTGCTAGCTTGAAGGCTGACTCTCTTCCTCTTTTCCCTCACAACGAATAGGTGATCGCATTACATAGCGGGCGCAACAAATTAGTTTTGTATTTATTTTGGGGTTTGAATTTGTTTGGTTTAGTTTTGTTATTAGTAAATTTTACAGGAGACATGTAGCAAGCAAATAGGCATGTAAAACAAGTGAATGAGGGCATTAAGCAAGCAAAAGAGTATCTAGAGTAAGAGAATGGGAACTTAAAGTGAAAGTTTGAGAGGTTGAAAAGCAATTTAAAGAACTTGAAGATTGTGGTGTTTACTATGGCCACTGTGCATGTTTTTCTAGTGCGAAATGTCCAAGAATGTATTTTGTAAAATGGAAGGACATAGGTAGATATATCAGTACTTTATCTTCTATTGTATTTTTTGAAATGTAATTTAAGTGGATAGATGGACCACTTATGTAGTAAGTTAAGAAACCAATTTTTGTGGAATAAAGAAAGATTAGCATTGTCGCTTTTATTGTCCAATTAAGCTGGGTGCTGTCATTTTCTATTGTGCATGTTTTATTTCAAGATTAACATGTTGTGCACGCTCTATAATGCACAAAGTGGTACAAGTTTTCTATATATTGAGAACTTGCTTGGTGTCATGAATATTTTTACTAAAAAAAATATAAAATAAGTATATTATAATATGAATTTGGTAACATATTTTGAGGTAAAAAAATTGGACAGCATATGAAATCATATGTTTGTCATCACAAAAATAAACCCTAGCTTATTTCGAAGAGACCATAAACAAGTACGTGTAGGGGCTTTAGTCATACGATCAGCCAGCTAATCAGTCGAGGGAAATGAGTATAACCAACGGCTGGCACTAGATTGCATGCCGAGTCTCGATCTCAAGCAAAATGAGCATCGAATTATTCTAGGTGCTTGGGATAGCAAATTGCTTGCCAGTACTTGATTATTGATACATTATCGCACCACACTCGAGGAACACGAGTAAGAGGGAGTTGAATTTCACTGAATCCACGTAAACATAAGTTTAATTAAATCAAAGAATATCTAAAACTTCAATTCCATTCTCTTTGACCTGGAATGAAGGTCATTTCGACAATAATCCATAAACGAATTTTTCTCTCTCATAAATATATATATATATATATATATATATAATTTTTTCTTTTATTCATAATCCCAATCTATAATAATTTTGAAGAAGGGCATAAGTTGATAATAAATACAAGAAATTCTGCAATTTAATAAATATAAGGGGTAAAATAAGAATTTTTTTTTACAAACACTAGTTTGTTTATATTTTGGTCAATCAATATTAGCTGAAAAAAACTACTTGTATTTTCAAAATGAAGAAGCATGTGAGAATAAGAGGTAGCATGATGCTTTTTATTGGGTTCTATGAAACAAGAGAATTGCCAAAGAACACACAGTATCTTCCAACATATTTTTCATCATTTTTATTCCATTGTTCATAATCCCTTTAATTTGATCCGTCTGTCGTGTTAGTTCTTGTAGTTTTTAGAATATACATAATGACTATGACTGTCTTTGAAAGAGTTAATTTTATTGTAACTCTACTAATCCATTTACTAACATATGATAAAATATGCTGACTTGGAAATAAATTGACAATGTATAATTAAAAATGAAAGATGAGAGGGAAAAAAGCTTCATTGTATTTTTTTTATTTAATCGCCAGATGTTTTGAAAAATCTAGGGGTATTAATTATCACCTCCTATTCAAATTAATTATAACTCTTGCCATGTAAAACTTTATTTATTATCAACGACAATTTCATGAGTATTTCAAGGATGTCTTTGATATTGGATTAAACTTGTACAAGGCAAAGGCAATATTTAGTACATATCAACAATACAGGGTTAACAAAGTTTGCATCATATTAGCAAAATTAATTTTGTTGGTGCCAGCTTATATATGAATCTCATATACATTTTTATAACTACTGGGATTAACGTTGTAGACGATCAAACTATCGGGAACAACAGGCAAAAATTATTGGAATTAAAAACATAATTCAATTAAATTACGTATACTATATATAACTATATTTTCATTTTAATTAAATGCTACTCATGCGCGCGCCCCGCTTTTCCCATTATCCATTATTTTGTGATTGATTGCATCGCACACTCGCACAGTAATCATCATAGTAGTAGGAAGGTTAATGTGGAGCACGTTCCTGTGAACCCCATACACTAAGAATTAGTCCTGCATAATAAGCCTCTATAAAAGGGCTAATACAAGTATAACTGGTGGCTTAAAAAAGTTGTTACTATGATTCAACCCAAAAAAAAAAAAACATTGTTACTATGACGAGGTTGAGACATCAAGACACTCCACTTTACAAGCGAGTAGGAGACATGTGTGTCTAAATTAAAAAAATTTCACAATTAAAGTTAGTAAATTGAGGTTGAAAAAAAAGTTTATGGCTTTAATGTAATTTATATCTAGATTTTTTTTAAAGTTAGTTAGACAAATTAAAACTATTGTTTGGATGAATTGATTTAAAATCTATTTGAAGTATATAATAACAAAAAGGGACATGATTTTTTTTGTATATATTTTTTTATTAATTTTTGATGTTTTTAAAAAGTATATTACAAATGCAAAAACAAGTAATTGATTTTTTTAGATAATTTGATTTAAAAGTTAGTTTAGATAGTGTACAGTGATAAAAATGAACATGAATTTTATTATATATACATTATTTGAACCATTTAATGTTTTTAGGAAAAATAATAAAATTTTATGAATGAATAAAGGGGCATGAATTTTTTGATAAATATTTAAAAAAAACATTGAACTTTGAATTATATTTTTTTAAAAAAAGCCTATGTTTTCATCAAGCTTGTTTTGGTATTTTCTAAATATAAGCTATTTCCTGAAAACAAAAAAAAAAGGCATTCTTTTGCATCTAATTTGGAGCTTTCTTGTCAAATCATATAACTTGTTAAAATTTTTAAAAATTAGAAAACAGTCAAAAATACTATTTTTTGAAAGCTTTTGTTTTTTAAAATAAATTTAACACCTCCGTCAGTCATAATGAATCAAAAGCCAACCTTTTTTTATCTTTTGGCAGAAGAAAGAAATAATTTAAACAGATAGAGTGATAGACTTGAGAACCCATCCCCTCCCCTCTCTCTACTCTGTCCGATACAGCAGCCAGAAGAAAGTGGTGAGTAACACAGTCCCAACACAAGAAATAGGACAATGCAGTATGGATGGCGAGCAACATAGACCACGGAAGACAAGATGCAAGACCTCGTTGGATGAGGACGGCAACGAGTCATTGGCGGCAACGAGAAGAAGGAGGCGAAGAGCTTCTGAAGACTGAAGGTAAAGCAAGGTGACGAGAGGGGTCAAGAAGTTTGTGACTTGCGAAGATAAACAAGAAAGAGAATGCCCCAACGTCTACCCGCCTACCGCGTGGTGAGAAGCTACTTCAACCAGCTTTAGCCAAAACGGTGGTTGCTCCTCCATGGAGCTTTTAGTTTTTTTTTTTTTTTTAAATCCAAATGAGATCTGAAATCACGCAATGGGCCTTTTGCCCCCCGAGTCCCCAATCTAGGTTAGGAGCCCCTAAAAGCTCGTTTAACAATAATCAAAACATAGCCTAAGTCGGAGACTGCATGAGGCAAGGAGGCAGATTTATGATGACTCAAGCCAAAGCAAGCGCACTGCTGCATCCATAAAATGCAGCCCCCCCTTCGTCAATCACAAAGCAATAGACCCGCATGATATATTGCTTAGCCATCAAGGACTCTGTTTTAGATTGCGGGTAGTTTTCTGTATTGCGTGTCTCTTAAAATATTACAATATCAGAATAACATGTTCTCATGATTAAAAAAGAATAATATGTTCTGATGTTCCTGTTCGTACTATAAAAGTCCTATTAACTAAAGCACTCAATTGGTAAATTATAATTTTAAAAATAATAAAAATCACTATTAATAAAACAACAGGCAACAGCACGAAAACGTGAAAAGTATATCAGGCTCTCAAGAATAATCATATTCTTGTAACATTTATAACGCACTAAAAGCAAAAAATGCCATGTCTAAGAATATTCTCTTGTTTTAGGCCAAGCTAAAATAATGGTCCTGGCATCCTGAAAAATGACAAATTTCACCTAGAAGACCAATTACGACATAAGCGTTTCAGGTCATCTAGCCTGCACAGCAGAGCGCATCTTAACAAATCTATTATAGGCAGACCGTCTAGACTCAGGATGCAAATCATCATATACTAATCACACAATAAGTAATCAAGCTTACAAAATATTATCTAATGGAGAAATTTCAGGAACAGGTCCCGGTCCCTACCTAATGTGAAAATAATCCTTAAACGGATCCAGTCAACCCCGTTTCGCAGAAGAAACAAGAAAGTCTTTCATCGCGTAGAGTGCGTCAATCGGGGGTTGCACGTGGAGAGATTTCATACGTAGACCTCAAGCTGGCGTGGCGGACCTCTGCGCTGGAGCACGTACATGCCCACAAATTACAAAGAGCGAAGGATAGTGAGAAAGGAACAAGCCGTCCAAAACAGGCACGCACGCACAGAGAAACGGAGATGGAGAGAGAAAAACTTTATTATTATTATTATTGTTATTGTTATTATTTTTTTTGGTTAAAAAGTAAAAAACTATGAGTTTTTATTATTGTTATGAAATATTTTTTATTGTTTAACAGCAGTCAGCGTTCGATTTCGTTTAGCTCCCGCCCCTGATGTTTTAGGGTTGAGAATTGGAGAAAAGTCAGACAAACATTAAACGATTAAACGCACTATTCATAAAGAAGACTTGCGGAAGGAAAACAGAGGAAGACCAAAAGCCCGTAGCGAAACACCGATCTCTTACACGCAAAAGAACTAAAATGGAAATCGGAACATTTACAATTTAGTAGATCTTGCTGCTTTCAACGTTGTGGCCATTTTTGATCGGCCTTGTTGAGTGCATTTCCAGCTGTAATTACGGGTTTTTTAATACACATTTTTTTTTTGGTTTACCTGGATATTATTTTCCCCATCTGGTGGGAGGAAACCGGAGGCCAGACATTCGGGAAAGAGGTTTTGTCCTGTAGATTGTTGTGGCAGGGGTTGGATCTGGTGAAACTTCATCGGATGAGAAAAGTCTGCATATGTTTCAAGGATCAAGAGGGAAAACGATGAAATGGACTTCATTGCTTAAGGACATCAAAGAGAAGGTTGGCCTCACTCCACCGCCTTCTTCTGCTTCTGCTACTTCTTCTGCTTCTTCATCGGCTTTCACCTCGTCATCTCGCGATAGCAATGTCATTTCAGCTTGGCAAACCTTGGGTTCATCTCCTGCCAGGTTCAATATATTTCATCTATTTCTCTTCTATGCTTGTTCCCCTTTTAATTAACTCGGACCTTTTGGCTTAAAATATAAGATGGCTTTGCTTTGTTATAGACTTATAGTGTGATGATTTGAGTACTGCATTGCATTGGCTTTGATTTGCTTGCGAAAGCTGAGAGGAAAAAAAAAATGTAGCTCGGCCATGTTGACCATTTCATCTTAACTAGCAAAATGCAGTTAGATACGTCGATTACGGCAAATAAACAAATCACAATATTCCTTTATTAGTTTCTACGAGGACACTCCTATTTCCCAGGGTTGTCAACACTACGTTAAAAGGTTTTTTCTGAGCTAGAAAAGCTCATTACTCGTTTCTTAGGTCCCATAGACAGGGAGCTTGATGGGTTACATATATCCTCGGGCTCTCGTCCCTGGCGGGTACCTCTCTCCATGTTTTTGAAGCGGGCATGATCTTATTTTGGCACCGTTATAGTTATATTAAGACGTTCATGATGTTGCCTGACTCTAATTTCCGTTTAACTCATCTCCATGACTTCTGACGTTACTATGTTGTCAGGGAGTGGAGAATGATCTTCATTAATATTGGCACGATTTTAATTTTGCACAGTTGCACTACAAATACAACGGTTATTTTTAGTTACGGAACCATAGTCTTTATGGGGAGTAAAGTCTACATCATATACTAGCTCAACTGTGAACTAATAAATTAGGCTTAAAATATGGTGGCAGTGGGCTTATCTGCTCAATCTGCTGCTGCTGAATATGGTCATATTTATTGATTATTGATTAGCACGTATAGAATGAGCAAATGATCGAAATATTAAATGAAGATACATAAATAATTAAATTCACAAATCCATTACTTTAGAAGAGGTCTCGTTTTTATGTTGTATCTTCATTGAAATTGTTTATTAACTTTCTTTAGCTTGATGTCTCTGATTTCAAATTTTTGATACAGTTGTTTAATGATTGATAAATACTGATTCTTAAGAATTGCCTTTTTATAACATCCCTTGCCTATGTTGTAATTATGACATTTTCATGATTTTAAATCAGGGACAGACATGAACTGGAATTGGACTTCAAGAGATATTGGGAAGAGTTTCGGGCATCCACCTCTGAGAAGGTTCTTTCTTGCTAATTTGTGTGGTCTCTCTTCTTTTAATTTTTCATAATGTCACCTGGAATGGTTGATTACTGATAAGCTATAAGTTGCTAATTTTCTTACATTTTCTTGCAGGAAAAAGAAGCGGCCTTGAATTTGACTATAGATGCATTTTGTAGATTAGTAAAGCAGCACACTAATGTAGCTCAATTAGTTTCCATGTAAATATACAATTTCATCTCATCTCTACTCCTTTATCACGTGCGTTAATTTATTTGCAATAGCATAGTTGGGAAGAGATGGCTTATTGCTAAGGTTGCATTGTCTTTGAAATGGAGATATGCTTTATGTTAGGCTCTGCTTTTGGATAAAAGAATAAATGTTATTGGATTAAAGAACCTTCTCCTTAGCCCAGATACAAAAAGAAACAAAGAAAAGACAAACTGAAACTTGTATACATGGCTTTCTAAACCAGCCACCAAAGAAAGAAACTTTTTTCCTTTGCTTAATCACATGTTTTGATTTCTGTATATAGATGCTATTTTTTGTTGAGGAAGATGAAGATGTCATGGTATTTTGTTTTTTGAGTATAGATGATTGTGAAATGTGCCTCAAATAAGGTCAAGAGCTTGTTCATGGCTTCCCATTTTCTTCGAGCAAAGAGTTTTAAGACAATATTTTTCCTGCTTGAGGTTTTAAAATTTTAGTGAGGTAGCTGAGATATTATCTTACATGTTATTTTTTATGATTCATTGTGGTTTGTTTATTAACTGATTTTTAATAATGATGACTTACAGGTTAGTTGAAACACATATATTCTTATTTGTTGTTGGAAGAGCATTTGTAACAGATATAGAGAAGTTAAAAATGAGCAGCAAAACAAGATATCTGGATGAAGCTCAAGTTTTAAAGTTTTTCTCTGAAGCCACAAAGGTTAAGCCTTGGATGTGTATTTTTTCATATGGCCATTGTTTTGCTGATTCTTTGATTTTTGAATTCTATTTGATTCACTTCTTGGCAGGATGGCATCAGTCCTGGATCAAATTTGTTAACTGCAGTGGAAGCCCTTGTATCTGGGGTATAATTCTTAAAAATTTTCTTGATATCAGTGATTTATTAGGGGATATATATATATATATATATTATCTTGTTACTCTCTTGATAGCATCCATGTAGTTGCCTTGCTTGCTGACATCTCTTTTGTGTCTCGATAATCCCACTACAAATACAGCAGGCACTTTTTGCTCTGTGATACTTGGCTCATCAGTGGTTTTCTGTAAAATCTACACAGAAAAAAATGTTTACATGTTATGGATTAGAATCATCAGGTTTATGATGTATTATGAAGAGTGATTAGGGCTATATTCAACTATGATTTTTAACCTATGATGTGTCACATTTGTGTTATTCTCTATTCCTCTAATTTTTTCCTCTTGTTCTGCAAGAAGTTGTTCTTATGTGTATATTTTTTGCAGCCTACTGACAAGCAATCCCTGCTCGACTCTGGTATATTTTGCTGTCTCATTCATATTCTCCATGCCCTTCTAGATCCTGATGTAGCCATTCAACGGTCAAACATTACTATCGATCATGAAGTGTTGCAAAAAGGTTGTGATGGTGACATTGGGCAAGCCCGCCAGCTTGAGGTTTCTTTCTCTCCATGTTATTTGTATACACACACATGCGTGCCTGTTTTTGCATCTGCACAACCTGTAATTATGTTAGCATAAGGACTGATGGTCATAATTTGCAGAAAAATATTTATGGTTTTGTGCTACCTAATTTTAAATGGGCAGGCCTTTGATAGATATATTATATTATGCCCTGTATGGTTGCCAGAATATTTTTCCTGGGAATGTGAACTGTAATGGGTGATGGAAATGGGAATGGGTTTTGATTGAATAAATTAATTATATTTAGGCCTCTAATAAGAGGACACTTATGATCGATAAAAAATAATTATACTTGGTATGTTATATAATGCAATGAATTTTTAACTTCATAGATGCATTTGGTTGGATGGAATAATGTAAGAATGGAAAGGAAAGTTGATCAAATGCCTATAATGCCCCTGGTGTAATAATGTATTAAATTAGATTATCATTATTAATTAATTTTTTTATTAGTAACAGATCATTCTAGGCTATATTCTATGTATATCTAGTAAATCTAGAGGAATCCAAATGGCTTATGAACAGTACCAATCTAGCTTCTTTAGATTCTGTGACTTTGTGATTTTTTCTTCTGGTTTTATTTAACAAATATCTCTCTTATTTTTTTATACTACACATTATTAAAGCAAATTTTTGTTTTGCAGCACTTCCTCTCCCAATTATTTTTTAATCTTATTATTTGGTTTTGATTGTGCTTTTCCCTCAAAATTTTCAATTATTCAATCTTTTCTTCTATATAAGTCACATAATGAAAACATTTTTAAGCAGAAAAAAATCTTGCAGTTTTACTTATATATATAAATGTTGTAAATATTTTTTTATCATTTGAATTTGTAAGATATTTTTTTTTAATTGTCATTAACAAAATTAATTAAAAATTTAATTACCACCAATAATAGAGTCTGCATTTTATTTCCAGATTTGTTTCTGTGAACATGGATTCCCTTATTTTCTTATTAAGATAAAAAATAAGTCCAAAATCATTTCCATACTTGAGTGTGGTTGCCAAATTGAGCTTCGCTCTCCTCCTAAATGATGACCGAACAAGTGTGCATCTAGAGATTTTAGTTTGCACGATAAAGAAGGTTTCTGTTTGCATGATGGCTTTTTGGTAATTTTGCTTGTTTATGAGGGTACAATGATAATTTTAACTTACATTCCCAGGAATGAGGTCCTTTCCATCATAGGATGATAGGAATCATTATTCCCACATGTGGGAATGAGTTTTCTGGCTTCTGTTCCATTGAGCCCAAGCAAACATTGCCTCAATTCTATCCCCATTTCCTATCTCACCTCAACAATGTAAATTACAGCCAAGCAAATGAGACTTGAATTTCAATGGGAAAATTTACCCTTAATTGTTCTATTGCATAATCTTTATATGGCTGTCCAAACCTTTGATAAAGAACCGGGCATCAAAATTATGTCCTTGCCTATAATTGGGATCTTCCAAGGTTATATTTATCTTCTTGATTTATTTTCATTTGTACTACTTTACTTGTGCAGATAGAGGGAAGTGTTGTGCATATTATGAAAGCACTTGCAAGCCATCCATCAGCAGCGCAGAGTTTGATAGAGGATAATTCACTTCAGTTGCTCTTTCAAATGGTTGCAAAAGGGTCATTGATAGTTTTCTTGCATTACAAGAAAGGACTTGTTCCATTACACAGCATACAACTTCATAGACATGCCATGCAGGTAAAGGAAAGTACACGTGCATGCAATTAAAACCGTTAGAAATATGTGATAATATTTCTTTGGATGAGTAGTTTGAGCTGATTTTGTGCCTCTGATGGTTTAATATTCATGTTGCTGCTGCTTATATATACTTAGATACTGGGTCTACTTTTGGTCAATGACAATGGAAGCACTGCTAAATACATCCGCAAGCATCATCTGGTATGTTCTTAGCTTTCAAATCTTAACTATCTATTGTAAGTCAAATAACTTGTATACAGTGTGATCTTAGACTTTTGTTCATATTTCATTATCATTCAGTTGATGTTCAACTCAACCACTTAATAATATGCCAGTGGTTAACAGGCATTAAATGGTTGAGGATGTTTTTTATTTATTTTTCAATTCTTTCAGGATGGGAATTTAATGTTATTCTTTCATGTATTGACTGTAAATCTGTCAATCTTGGATGAGATTGTGGCAAGAGGGAATCTTCACTGCCCTTTTTGTCATTGTTGAATGAAGAGAACATGTATATGAAATTATCAGAGATGGAACCTTTGATAAGAATTTATGTAACATGATTCCGCTTGTACTGTGTTCAAGAGCTGCTGCTATTATTTCTTGAATGAAGAGAAATCCAGTCTACAAATTTATCAGGGATTGAATTCCTGACAAGGCTGTTTGTAACATTGTCATTGCTCTGTGTGCTATAGTAGATGGACACATTTACTAGTCATAATAATAATGAAGTTCAAAGATATTGGTACTTGAATTTCGTGTTGTTTAACAAAAGCGAAGACAGTCGGTGTCAAGTCATTGATATGTGATAAAGCCATATAAAATTCCGCTCTTCTGTTGAAATTGTTCCACATATTAATAAAATAATCAACTGTATTAAGCAGTCCTGACTATTGTTTGATGGTCTTCCTTTTCCACATGCTAAGTTAAATGATGCTATGATTCCCTTACTATACCAAAATAGCTTTTGTTTTAAGGAGAATTATTATTGTGGTATGATAGTGCAATGGTTATAATGATTCTCATTGTGCATGATATCCACGTTTTATTATTGATATCGAACACTTCCTGTGACATATCTTATTACCATGCAGATCAGAATTCTCTTAATGGCTGTCAAAGATTTTGATCCTGATTGTGGCGATTCTGCCTACACCATGGGCATTGTGACTTGTTACTTGAGTGCGTGGAATTGTCCTATAGACCGGGTAACTTCAGTTTTTTAATTATGTAGTTTAGTTTAATTGCAACGGACAAGGTTTCCATAAATCTAACAGTTGCTAGGGTCTTGAAGCTTGGAACACACATACCTGAAAAAACCATGTCATTGGTTCTGCTATTCAAATTCCAAGGTTTTCTAGTTGTGTGCAACTTTTGGTCCTGATGATTTTTGTTTTTAAATTCTGGTTTTTAGAAGCTGGTGGCGTCAGACTGAGGGAGGATATACATAATGCACACGGATATCAATTCCTTGTGCAATTTGCACTAACTTTATCCAACATGACAAAAAGTCAGGGATTTCAGTCTGTTCATCCTGAGTCATTTACAGACAAAGATATTGCTGCAGCTGGATTTCAGGCACTGGATGATGGAGGACAAAATTCCAGAGGACAAGAGGATTCTTCCCTTCATCATCTTTCACCCACATTATCCAGGTTGCTTGATGTTCTTGTTAGTCTGGCTCAAACAGGGACAAATGAGTCTCCACGGTCCTCTGGAGGCAGGGGTTTTAAATCTTCTCAGACAAAGGCAGGTGTTCATAACAAAAGTCGTACGTCATCTTCTGATCAGCTTGGTGATGAAGTGTGGGAGAAGGACAATGACAAAATTAAGGACCTTGAAGCAGTCCAGATGTTACAAGATATTTTCCTCAAAGCTAAGAACCAGGAATTGCAGGCTGAAGTGTTAAATAGAATGTTCAAAATTTTTTCAAGTCACCTAGAGAACTATAAGCTGTGTCAACAATTACGGACTGTTCCACTTTTCATCCTTAACATGGCTGGTTTTCCTTCATCTTTGCAAGAGATAATATTGAAAATTCTTGAGTATGCTGTTACTGTTGTGAACTGTGTTCCTGAGCAAGAGTTGCTTTCACTTTGCTGCTTACTGCAGCAACCAATAACATCAGAACTGAAGCAGACAATACTTTCTTTCTTTGTAAAACTTTTGTCTTTTGACCAACAGTACAAGAAAGTTCTCCGTGAAGTTGGTGTATTGGAAGTTCTGTTAGATGATCTGAAACAGAACAAGATTTTGAGTCCAGATCAACAGATTAACAATTCCAATCAGCTGGAGAGAAAACCAGGTTCAAGCAGTTCCAAGAGACATATGGGCGACAATAAGGATGCTATTATTACCTCTCCCAGGCTCATGGAATCTGGTTCTGAGAAGTTTCCTATTTTTGAAGTTGGAGCTACTATTGATATTGCATGGGATTGCACGGTCTCTTTATTAAAAAAGTGTGAGGCTAATCAAGCTTACTTCCGCTCAGCTAATGGTGTGACTGCTGTTTTGCCTTTTCTGGTTTCTGATGTACATCGTTCAGGGGTTCTTCGGATATTGTCATGTCTTATAATTGAAGATGTTTCGCAGGTTAGTTGGCATTTGTTGTTCAGTTTCAAGCTCCGCAAATATTTATTGTAAGAGCTACCCTTCATTTCTCACCAAATTTCTATATTTCTTTATATCAGCTGTGTTTGCCCATTTGGTGCAGGCAATGAATTGTGAATCAGAAACAAATAGCTTCTTAATAGTTAATATCTTCAATCACGAATGCCTATACATGCATTCTATTTTGAAGATATCTGTTATTCTTATGTCATTTATTCAATTATTGTTCGTTTAGAATTATCTAGTTGGTTATCTAATTATTAACTGTACCAGGCTCATCCTGAAGAGCTGGGTGTGTTGATTGAAGTTTTGAAAAGTGGAATGGTAACCAGTGCTTCAGGGTCCCAATACCAGCTTTCTATCGCTGCAAAATGTGACATCATGGGAGCTCTGTGGCGGATATTAGGAGTAAATCACTCTGCTCAGAAGGCTTTTGGTGAAGCCACTGGTTTCTCTCTTTTGCTTACCACACTGCATGGGTTCCAAAGCGATGGAAGGGACATGGACCAATCTGCATTGAATGATTCCATTAAGGTGCTTACATATTTGTTACGTGTGGTAACTGCTGGAGTGTCTAACAATGCTGTTAATAGGATGAAGTTGAATGCTATTATATCTTCGCAAACTTTCTATGATCTCCTGTCTGAATCTGGCTTGCTTTGCGTGGAACATGAAAAACAAGTCATCCAGTTGATGTTGGAACTTGCCCTTGAAATTGTGATTCCACCTTTCTTAACTTCTGAAGGTTCGAAACTGATAAATGCTATTGAGGATGAGTCATGCCATACTCTATTATTAACTCCATCAGGTCCAATTAATCCTGATAGAGAGCGAATTTACAACGCTGGTGCTGTTAAAGTTTTGATCCATTCATTATTGCTGTTTACTCCCAAGGTGCAGTTGGAAGTGTTACACTTAACTGAAAAGCTTGCTCATGCTGGCTCCTTTAATCAGGAAAACCTCACCTCCATACGTATGTACACCACTCCCCCTCCAAAAAAAAAAAGAAAAGAAAAAAGAAAAAATCACCTTGAATGCTCGATGGTAGTTTAACCACTATTTCCTTCCATATCTACAGGTTGTGTGGAACTTTTGCTGGAGATAATCCACCCTTTCCTTCTGGGTTCATCTCCTTTGCTTTCTTATGCATTGAAGATTGTGGAAGTTCTTGGTTCCTACAGGTAGGTTTTATATCATATTGTTTAGAATTTTCTGCTCCCATTTAATATGGTCTGTAATAGAGACTTGGTAGTATGAGATATCAAGTCCCACATTGAGTAGTATGGGATGCTCAATGGGGTATATAAATGGGTTGGTTCTCCCACTTCAACAGCTAGCTTTTGAGGTAGGGTTCCCCATCCTACTTAGGTACCCATCAGTTTGTTATTTGTACTGAATAACATGTTTCTGTTGGTTAGGTTGTCTCCATCTGAACTTCGTATGCTCATCAGATATGTACTGCAACTGAGGCTTAAAAATTCTGGTCAGAGGATCATTGAAATGATGGAGAAGTTAATTTTCATGGAAGACATGGCCTCTGAAAATATTTCCTTGGCACCCTTTGTGGAGATGGACATGAGAAAGATTGGCCATGCTGCAATTCAGGTTTCCCTTGGTGAAAGATCGTGGCCTCCAGCTGCTGGTTATTCATTTGTTTGTTGGTTCCAGATTCAAAATTTTCTAAAATCACAATCAAAAGAAACAGACTCTTCCAAATCCATCTCTTCTAAGAAGCGATCTGGTTTAAATGGGCAGCAGAATGAGCAGCACATTTTAAGGATATTTTCAGTTGGTTCAGCTAATAGTGACAATACAATCTTTGCTGAACTTTTTCTTCAGGAGGATGGTGTTCTAACTCTTGCGATCAGTGACTCTTGTTTCTTATCATTTTCCGGGTTAGAACTAGAAGAAGGAAGGTGGCATCACCTTGCAGTTGTTCACAGCAAACCAAATGCTCTTGCTGGTCTCTTCCAAGCTAGTTTTGCCTATGTCTATCTTAATGGAAAACTTAGGCACACTGGAAAGTTAGGATATTCACCATCTCCACTGGGGAAACCATTGCAGGTCACTATTGGGACTTCAATTGTTAATGCAAGAGTTAGTGACTTGACATGGAAACTACGATCTTGCTACCTTTTTGAGGAAGTGCTTACATCAGGATGTATTTGTTTTATGTACGTACTTGGTAGAGGATATAGAGGGCTCTTCCAAGACGCAGATCTTCTACAGTTTGTACCTAACCAGGCTTGTGGTGGTGGTAGTATGGCCATACTAGATTCTTTAGATGCTGATTTGACTGTGACTTCTAATGGTCAGAGGCTTGATGCTAGCAAGCAAGGTGACCTGAAGGCTGATGGGAGTGGAATTGTGTGGGATTTGGAAAGACTAGGAAACCTTCCTTTACAGCTTTCAGGGAAGAAACTTATATTTGCATTTGATGGAACCTGTACAGAATTTATTCGTTCATCAGGGAGTTTTTCAATGCTTAATTTGGTTGATCCAATGTCTGCAGCTGCTTCTCCCATTGGAGGTGGGCAACTACGTTTACAAACTACAGCTTTATAACTTCCTCTTTCACTTTCTTTTTTTGTTTTATAATTCTGTTTCATTAATGTCTTTGGGGCTTTGCAGGTATTCCTCGTTTTGGACGACTGTATGGAGATATTTATATCTGCAAGCATTGTGTGATTGGAGAGACTATTCGTCCTGTTGGTGGCATGGCAGTTGTGTTGGCTCTAGTTGAAGCTGCAGAGACTAGGGATATGCTGCATATGGCCCTGACATTGCTTGCCTTTGCACTTCATCAAAATCCTCAGAATGTCAAGGACATGCAATCATTAAGGGGCTACCATCTACTCGCAGTTTTTTTGCATCGTAGAATGTCGCTATTTGACATGCAATCTCTTGAGATCTTCTTTCAAATTGCTGCTTGTGAAGCTTCATTTTCTGAGCCAAAAAAGTTGGAAAGCACTCAAACTGTTTTGTCCCCTGTGGCATTGACGGAGGAAACCAGTCTTGAAGATCACTATCTTTCAAAGTTTCATGATGAAAATTCTTCTGTTGGATCGCATGGAGATATGGATGATTTTTCCATTCAGAAAGATTCATTTAGTCATATTTCAGAGTTGGAAACTGCTGATATTGCTGCTGAAACTTCGAATTGTATTGTCTTGTCAAATTCAGACATGGTTGAACATGTCTTGCTGGATTGGACAGTGTGGGTAACAGCCCCAGTTTCAATCCAAATTTCATTGCTGGGATTTCTTGAAAACTTAGTGTCTATGCACTGGTACAGGAATCATAACCTTACAATTCTTCGGCGAATCAACCTTGTTCAACATTTACTTGCAACTTTGAAAAGGGGTGATGTTGAAGTTCCTGTCCAAGAGAAATTGGTTGTGCTGCTCGGTGTCATCTTGGAAGATGGCTTTCTGTCTTCTGAGCTGGAAAATGTGGTTAGATTTGTGATCATGACATTTGACCCCCCTAGGTTGGTTCGACAAAGTCCAATAATGAGAGAGTCAATGGGGAAACACGTTATTGTCAGAAATATGTTACTGGAGATGCTCATTGATCTACAAGTGGCTATTAAATCAGAAGAGGTGCTTGAGCAGTGGCATAAAATTGTTTCTTCCAAATTAATTACATATTTTCTTGATGAAGCAGTTCATCCCACAAGTATGAGATGGGTCATGACTCTACTTGGTGTGTGTTTGACTTCTTCTCCTACTTTTGCTCTAAAATTTCGAATGAGTGGAGGTTACCAAGGTTTGGTTCGAGTGCTTCCAAGTTTCTATGACTCCCCTGACATTTATTATATATTGTTTTGTTTGATATTTGGCAAGCCAGTTTATCCTAGGTTACCAGAGGTTCGCATGCTGGACTTTCATGCTCTTATGTCGAGTGATGGGAGTTATGTAGAACTGAAGTTTGTAGAATTGTTGGATTCTGTGATTGCTATGGCAAAATCTACTTTTGCTAGGTTAAGCATGCATTCGATGTTTGCTCATCAAACTGGTAATCTTTCCCAGTTTAGTGCTAGCCTTGTGGCTGAGCTTGTGGAGGGATATTCAGATATGGCTGGCGAGCTTCAGGGGGAAGCTCTGATGCACAAGACTTATGCTGCTCGCCTAATGGGTGGTGACGCATCAGCCCCTGCTGCAGCAACTGCGGTTCTTAGATTTATGGTTGATCTAGCTAAGATGTGTCCCTCTTTTACTGCTGCTTGCAGGCGTGCAGAATTTCTTGAAAGCTGCATTGATCTATACTTTTCTTGTGTGAGGTTTGTTATGAGACAGCTTCTCTATTTTCTTGCTCTGCTTCTGTTTAACTTCCTGCCTGTAATTGTAGGCTGATAACTCACTTAATTTTGTTTAAATAAATTTTTTTGTCCTGCTAAAATTGCTCCTTTTCAAATAAACTGCATGTTTTGTGCCTTTCAGGGCTGTCCATGCTGTTAATTTGGCAAAAGAACTTTCTGCCGGCACAGAAGAGAAAATTTTGAATGATACTGATGATACTTGTAGTTCTCAAAATACATTCTCTAGCTTGCCTCTTGAGCAGGAGCCATCAGTCAAAACCTCAATTAGTCTTGGAAGCTTTCCTCAAGGGCAGGTAAGTACAAGTTCTGAAGATATGGTTGCACCTGTGAACCCTATGGATGCTGTGAGATCAGATAATAGTGTTTCTACATCCCAGATGGAGTTAAATAAATCTGTTAAGGTCTTGGACGGTGACAATGCTGATCAAGTGCCTGACACCATGGCTGCAAATGAGTTTGGCTTTCGCAGTTTCAAAGGCACTTTGGAAAATCTCCAGACAACAGATTTACAGAGCTCTGCATCTTTTACCACATATGACTCTCCCATTTTATCTGAAAAGTCCAGTTCTAGAATTCCTCTTTCACCTTCGTCACCAGCTTTGGGATTGGCATCCTGGCTGGGTAGTGCCAGCCAGAGTGAATCTAAATCTCCCTTAGCAGTGACTCCCTCTTTAGATTCTTCCATGTCTGTTGGGAATTTTGATCCAGCTTCAGATTTGAAGTCCAGTGCTCAAGGTCCATCTGGCACGAGTGACTATTTTGCTGTAACTTCAAAGTTGCTTCTGGATATAGATGATTCCGGTTATGGTGGTGGGCCATGTTCTGCAGGAGCTACTGCTGTTCTAGATTTTATTGCAGAAGTTCTTTCTGATTTTGTGACCGAGCAGCTGAAGGCATCACTGGTTATTGAGAACGTCTTGGAAAGTGTTCCTCTACATGTTGATGCTGAGTCAATGTTAGTCTTTCAGGGCCTCTGCCTAATTAGATTTTTGAACTTCCTTGAAAGGCGATTGTTACGTGATGATGAAGAAGATGAGAAAAAATTGGATAAGAGTCGCTGGTCCTCCAACTTGGATGCTTTGTGTTGGATGATAGTAGATCGTGTATATATGGGTGCTTTTCCTCAACCTTCTGGGGTAATAAAATGCCTTGACTTCTTCTTATCTATGTTGCAGTTAGCGAACAAAGATGGTCGAATTGAAGAAGCATCGCCTGGTGGAAAAGGGCTGTTATCAATCACCAGAGGAAGTAGGCAGCTTGAAGCTTATGTATATTCCATTCTTAAAAACACAAATCGAATGATATTATATTGCTTTCTCCCATCATTTTTAAGTAGTATAGGGGAAGATGATCTCCTTTCACGCTTGGGTTTGCTCGCCGAGTCTAAAAGGAGATTGTCCTCAGCTCCTCAAGATGATTCAGGAAATGACATCTGTACAGTCTTACAATTATTGGTTGCTCATAGAAGAATTATATTCTGTCCCAGCAACACTGATACAGATATTAATTGCTGCCTTTGTGTGAATCTTTTGTCTCTTCTCTGTGATCAAAGACACAGCGTGCAGAATATGGCCATTGAAGTGGTCAAGTATCTTCTAGTCCATAGGAGGGCTGCTTTTGAAGACTTGCTTGTTACTAAACCTAACCAAGGGGAGCAACTCGATGTACTTCATGGTGGTTTTGATAAATTATTGACTAGAGGTTTATCTGAGTTTTTTGACTGGTATCAGAATAATGAACATATTGTAAATAAAGTATTAGAACAGTGTGCTGGCATTATGTGGGTGCAGTATATTGCTGGATCGGCAAAATTTCCTGGAGTAAGAATCAAAGGCATGGAAGGCCGTAGAAAGAAGGAAATGGGGAAGAAATCCCGAGAAGCTGCAAAGTTGGATTCAAAACATTGGGAGCAACTAAATGAGAGAAGATATGCACTGGAATTAGTTCGTGATGTGATGTCTGCTGAGTTGAGAGTAGTCAGGCAAGATAAGTATGGATGGGTTCTGCATGCTGAGAGTGCTTGGCAAGGCCATCTTCAGCAGCTTGTGCATGAACGAGGGATATTCCCTCTCTGTAAATCATCTATGACTAAAGAACTGGAATGGCAGCTTTGTCCCATTGAAGGTCCATATCGGATGCGCAAAAAACTTGAGCGTTGCAAACCGAAAATTGATACCATCCAAAATATTTTAGATGGACAGTTTGAAATAGATGAAGCAGAGTTGTCTAAAGGGAAAATTCAGAAGTGTCTTGATACATCTGATTCTGACTCTGAACCGTATTTTCAACAAATGACACATAAGGATAAACAGAATGCTATTGACAATGAACCATATGATGCATCTTTATTTAATAAGATGGACAGTGTCAAAGATGCTGTTTCTGATGGGAATGAGTGGAATGATGACAAAGCTAGCAGTATAAATGAAGCAAGCCTCCATTCTGCACTTGAGACTGGTGCCAAGTCTAGTGCAGTGTCAATTCCTATAGAAGAGAGCATCCAAGGAAGATCTGACTTGGAATCTCCTCAGCAATCTTCTGTGAAAGTTGATGATGCTGAGTTTGCAGATGAGAAGTTTGATAAAGAACTGCATGATAATGGCGAATTCTTAATCAGACCCTTTTTGGAACCATGTGAGAAAATAAGATTTAAATATAACTGTGAACGAGTTGTAGGTCTTGACAAGCATGATGGGATATTCCTGATAGGTGAACTTTGTTTGTATGTGATTGAAAATTTCTATATTGACAACTCTGGCTGCTTCTGTGGGAAGGAATGTGAAGATGAACTTTCGGTTATTGATCAAGCTCTGGGTGTAAAGAAAGATGTCAATGGGAGTGTAGATTTTCAATCTAAGTCAACTTTGTCTGGGAGCAGCACAGCAGCTAATTCATGGGTTGGGGGAAGAGCATGGGCCTATAGTGGTGGCGCATGGGGAAAGGAAAAGGTGCATAGCAGTGGGAATTTACCTCACCCGTGGCGCATGTGGAAACTTAACAGTGTTCATGAGATATTGAAACGTGATTACCAGCTCCGTCCTGTTGCTGTTGAAATATTTAGCATGGATGGATGTAATGATCTCTTGGTTTTCCACAAAAGGGAACGAGAAGAAGTTTTTAAAAACCTAATTTCCATGAATCTGCCTCGGAATAGCATGTAAGGGTATTCATTTTGTTTAATGTTCTGCTGTCTTTATGTTCACTCAATTTACTTTGTGTATATTTTTAGGATTTGATGATCCTGACTTGGTTTGATGCATGAAAACTTGACACTTGTGCAAAGTATGCTTGGCAATTTGATGTTTGATTTCTATCCATATATGTATAATCACATGAATTCTGGTCTTCTATAGAAACGTTGATGTATATATATATATATATATATATTTGAGCTCTGTTTTATGTTTCATAATTTATAATTTATGTTTGTGCTGTTGACTTATCCTTTTTTCTTGGAACCATATTTATTTTTTTTGCATTGCGACAGGTTGGATACAACTATTTCTGGAACCTCAAAACAAGAAAGCAATGAGGGTAGCCGTCTTTTTAAATGATGGACAAATCCTTTACTAAAAGGTGGGAAAATGGAGAGATAAGCAATTTTCAGTACCTTATGCATCTCAATACCTGGCAGGACGTGGTTATATAGTGATCTTACACAATATCCAGTCTTTCCATGGGTCCTTGCTGATTATGAGAGTGAAAAATTTGACTTGTCCAATCCAAAACACATTCGTAAGCTGGAAAAGCAATGGGCTGCCAGACACCTGAAGGGGAAGATGAGTTTAAGAAAGGTTGGCTTCATGTTAATTTTATCATAACTTTTCACTTGCAGCTTGGATTTTTCAGTGATCATCATCTACCACATGTTGTTTACAGCCATTATCATATAAACAATTCACTATATGTTTTGCTGAGTTCCAAGAAGCATGCCTGATGGAAATAGTGAGTGAAATATATTTGAAATGACAGAAGTTTATCTCATATAATGAATTGATATGGCCAATTAAGTTTCAATATTATGACAAAATATATCAAGAAAAGATGGAGTATCTAACAGCATCTGATCTTATAGTGGTAGTTTCTTCTAAGTCTGACGTATGATTTTAATTTTTTTCTCTGTTAGATATGAGAGCTGGGATGATCCAGGGTCCCAAAGTTTCATTATGGATCTCATTATTCTAGTGCGGGAATTGTCCTCTTCTATTTATCCGCCTGCCCCCATTTAGTGCGGAGAACCAAAAGCTTCACAGGTGGTCAGTTTGATCATGCTGATCGTCTTTTCAATAGCTTAAGGGATACCTGGTCAAGTGCGGCTGGGAGAGGAACGAAACATCTGATGTGAAGAAACTGATTCCAGAATTTTTCTACATGCCTGAGTTCTTGGAAAAATCGTTTCAATCTTGACCTAGGAGTGAAGCAGTCTGGGGAGAAGGTCATCCTAGTGCTACTTTTTTAATTGTTGATTTATGATTGGCAG